AAATTCCTTAACATTTCTCAAACTGCTTTGGACAGTTCTCATATATCCATATATTCCAGTGAATGGATGAGGGGCATTGTCAAGTACTAGATTTATGACATACTGAATTGAGATGTAGTCAACAGAGCTTTAAGTGATTTTACAAGCCAACAAAGTGTAGCCTCAGTTTACCATTCCTCTTCAATCAATTCTGTGAACTAAAAGAAAAGATAGTGAATTAATTCAGTACAGACTGAACCTGCCATCCTTTGCATGGGAAACACTGGCTAAACTCCCTGCGACTTATTTCTGAAAATGCAAACCACAGGAGTGTATTAAAAGTGTGAAAGAAGTGAACCGGAAACTCAGAAGAAAATTAATGTTCAGTTCTCTCATCAAGCCCAAAGTTTAGAATATTGTTTTAAACAGCTATAGCAGTCTTTTAAACTGGGGCCCATAGAAGGTCTCTAGAGGTCTATTGAACTGTATACAGAGAATTATTTTCCCCTTCTATTCCAATCTTACTATATTGATATACAACTAAAACACTCAGAGAAAATGCCTCTGTTTAATTATCTCCAAAGAAGGAGAGTCCACCAACCTCCAAGGCAGTGTATTTCACTCCCAGACAGCTCTTAAAGACAAGGAGTTGTTCCTAATGTTTAGATGGAATCTGCTTTGAAATTGGAAATCTTTGGTTTGTGTTCTAGTTTCTAGAGCAGCAGAAAACAAACTACACCACCTTCTACATTAGTGAGGGGCAAACTTCAACCCTCCAGCTGTTAGGAATTGTGGGAGTTGAAGTCTAAAACACCTGGAGGGCCGAAGCCTGCCCATGCCTGCCTACATGAATTATATTCAATATAAATATGCTATATTCAAAATTTATGCACTTGTTTTTTATATTTACAAGATGAAGTTGTCAGAACCTCTCATTAGATTCTCAAGGAGGTCCATGCTTCAAAAAAGATTACTCCCCACTCAACTAGAGTCTCTTAAATTCAATCCAATAACGATAATGACAAGAACAACATAAATGCTAGCTACCAGAAAACATACTTGGATGACCTCTCAGGTTGTATTTTAATATCTTTCGTCTTCCAATATTTCCATTCAAGAAACCTATTTAATTATCTATGTAATCAGGAAAGCTTTCATCATGAAAACTGCCCAAATGACTAGCCTTTCCACTTCCAGAATAGCTCCAAAATGAAACAAATGTTGATCAAGAATGGCAATAAGCCACTAAATTCTTCTGAAATAGTCCAGTGTTATCTATAAAAGACTTGTGCTAATTAAAAATTTTCTAGGTGTCACAAAACCTTTTGTTGTTTTACTCAGAGTATTACTAAAGTGAGCCATGATGTTTCACCCCTAGCACATTTAAAGTACAGAACAGAATTTAGAGTGAATTCACACTGACACAAAATTGATCCCCTGCCAACAGATCAAACTTCACACAGTACACTACCATTGCCATCACTTCTGTCCCAAAATGAGAGAGTTTTTACACCAAATTCAAAGTACAAAGTACACCTTTAGTAATTACATAGGAGAAGCATATACCCTGGGGCTCCAAAGAGAGAGACAGTATTTCAGGAATCAAACCTTCCTTTCAGTTATACTTCACCTGGAATGTTTCAAACAAGCTGAGTGCTATTTCAGCCTTGGGCACTATTGATGTCTCAAATTTAAACCACCGTATTTCAGCTCAACAAGTGGAAAAGTAGATATCCCACATTTCAAACTTCTAAGAGGTTTTACTCTCCAATAAGCAAGGACAAAAGTTCAGAGAGAGAGAAAAATCAATGATCACATAACATTTACATCCCTTTAAAGTCAATGATGAAGACATTGAAATACTTAAAGATTTTCTACCTGACTCATAAATTAATCAGAATGGAGGCTGCAGTGAAGAAATCAGAAGACTAGGATTTGGAAGGGCTGCTATGAAGGAACTAGACAAGATCCTGAAATATAACAATATATAATTGAGTACTAAAGGTAGAATTGTCCGTGATGTTGTATTTTCAGTGTCTATGAATGGTTGTGAAGGTTGGTCTGCCCAGAAAGCTGATAGGAGGAAAATCAAAACAATAATGTTTGGCAAGAAGGAAGGCAGTCAGAAAAAAGGAAGATCACACATTGCAGAGAGATACAACTTCATCAGATGGGCTAGTCAGCCCCACCTGCGCTGCTTGTTCTCCCCTTTCAGGATGGAGCCTATTATACAAAGCATATGTACTTCTAGCCAGGCTCTGTCAGAAAAGGCAGAGCAAGTGGCATATGCCATCAGTGCGGCAAGACAGGAACCTTCCCATGTTGCCTTACCAGAGATGGTGGGAAGCTGGGAGGCAATGCTTCCCTCCATGAGATGGGGGAAAAACAAGTTGCGTAATGCAGGGCGTGGAGCAATGGCTTCTCCATGCCCCTGCTGGGAACCCATAAGTTTGCCACAATGCATAGTACTCCATGTTCCTTTGTGATGAGATCCATAGGCTCAAGCAAGTAGGGTTGGTGGTGATAAGGTGACTTGGAACTCTTTTATTCAGAGAGTCGACATGTGCCAAAGTTTGCTTGTTGGCAGTGTCTAAAGCAGCACATAGCCACCATTGCTGGTGCCAAGGAAAGGAGGAGCATTGTTTGCCTGATTATATAAAATATGTGTACTTAACAACCAGTCATACATCCTGCTGTTGTTTCTGCTTCTGACATATATACATCTACAATGATTCTAAAATTAAAACACCCACAATTTTTCAATTTCAATGATTTTCACCTTACTCACCTCTTCCTATAATGAAATGTTGTGTTCCAAATTTGCAGAACACTTTGTTCAAGCTTTCCCTGTACTCACTATTTTCGGAACCAGCTGAAATTTGCAACAGGAAACCAATGAAGGCAGGGGATCATTAATCTTTTCTTGTCACTTTATTCACTGAAACTCATTATTTCATCAGATTGTTTTTATCCCTCTGAAATATATGCAGTGGGTCTTTGGTATCTGCTGGACTTTGGTTCCAGGACATTTGTGGATACTAAAATCTCTACATGGCCAAGTCCTATTATAGACAAAGGAGTAGCAAAAGGACAAAGAAGTCAAACAAGTGCTGGTGACAGTATAAGGCAAGAGCCTAAGGATCTGAGAAAGACCTTAAGAAAGTCAAAGGATCTACGAAATGGCAGGAGGCTACAACAGGCTATGTGTACATTTCTGCATAGTACTCAGCACATGGCAAAATCAAGGTTTGCTTTTCGGACTTTTCCCCCCAAAATATTTTTGAGTCATGGTTGGTTGAATCCATGTATGCAGAAGCTTTGAATAAGCTTTGTTCCTTACAGAAGGCATCAAATCATGATCTTGGAAGCCAATCAGAGTCAGATCTGGTTAGTACTTTGATAAATGCCTGCCAAGGAACATCAGGAGCCCACTTATACAACGGATTTATAGCACTTTGATTTCACTTCAACTGCCATGGTTTCATCCTATGACATCTTGGCCTTGGCAGCTTGGAGAGGAAGGAGGCATTTAGAATTACCATCCAAGGACACCCCAATGCCTTGACATACTACAAACCCCAGGATTTCATAGGATGGAAACATAATCATTACAGTAGAACAATATTGCTGCACTTGCACAGTGTGAATGGTTACTGTAGGCTATATTTCAGAGGAAGGAAATGGCAAACCAACTCTGAATATTCTTTACTTTAGAAAAGTGCATGAAATTCATGGTGTTGCCATACATTGATGGATGATTTGAAGACACCAGGAAAGGGCAGACAGGAAACCTTAGGGAAACAATATATTTGAGTGGTCAAAAATCAGGAAATGGAAAAATTAAGCAAGCCTTCTGTCTCTGCTTCTGATTTGAGCCTCACAAGAGCTGCTTTTCATTTTTACAAAATTAAATAGAAGCACAGAGCAGCCTATTATATGTACTTTGGCCCCATAACAAACCACTGTACATTTTCTATCCTACTTAGAAGGCCAAAAGAGATGGATCATTGAATCCAATTGCTGCAAAAGGTTATAAATCCATGGTTCTTAATAATACCGAGAGTGACAGGGCCAACTGGATACAGTTATGCAATGAGAGTGCCAAAATGAGAAGACAGAGAATTTGACAGTTGAAGGTGTAGGAGGATGAAAGACAGGCTGAAAACAATGAATCAAACGAGATGTGTTCCTAGGGGAAAATGGGGAAATCAAGGCAACATGCGGGAGTAGCACAGGACAGACTCAACATGAGTTTATGGAAGCAAAGACTGAAAGGAAAGTAATGTGAAAAATGGGATCTGCTTTCGATGAACAGATAAATGCTGCAAGTAATCCTACTTTTGGGCTTGAGCCTGCAAATTAGCAGGCAGTTAAATCACATTTGTTACAAGCCAACATGTCTAATTAGGTTTTAGAATCAAAGCACAACTAGGGAATATGACTAGGTTTATGTAACCATCTATTATAGATGTTTGTCTGATATCTGGAGCACAATCAGTCTTCTGTGTCCAGTTTCTGCCTCCATGGATACCACCACCATTCATGGCTTGAAAATAATAATAAAAAACTGTTTTATGTAAGCAATGTTTTTACAGCACTGTACATAATGGGACTTGAGCATCCACATATTTTGGTATGCAGTGGGGGCCCCAGAACCAAACTCCGGTGGTTGCTAAAGACTCACTGTATACACCATATGAAGAAATTACTATAATTCATCAGTCATCATCATAAACTACTTTTCAGGATAACATCAGTTTACATGCAAGTATTGGAATGCTAAAAAGTTTACAAAACAATAAAAAGAAGTACTGCAAGCTATAGTTGCACCGCTGAGGGGAAAGCAACTCTCCTGGATTTGCAGAAACAGCATGGAAATATCCCAATAATAACCTAGAGGTCATTTGAGGGCAAAAAAATCCAATTTTAAAACAATTCTTCTTTGATCTCTGTGAGACCTCCCAGCACGTTGGAAATGCCTTCTACATTC